TAGTATAATTAACACAAACTTGGCATTAACCAGGACCAGAATGCCTGCCAGCTGCTTTTCTTCCAGCAGTGTTAACACTTGCCTATGTGCAATACAGCCCTTAGCAGTTGACTACAGCTGGGGCCAAATAGCATTTAAAAAGGAAAAGTCACGAAGCTATTGGTGGACAGTTCGCGACTCTGATTTTTGTTATATACTTGTCAAATTCCATAGTTGAACTACACTGAAAATATAGAATTTTCACACACTGACCTCATTTTAAAAGAATTATGCCTTTCAATAAGCTACCACGCATTTGTCAAATGGGCACATTTGTGGCAGAGCCACGTGGCAATCAAATCTCCTAACGCCCATGCCAATTTTTTTCTAATGAAAATAAGAATTTATTTATTTATTTATTTATTTATTTATTTTGCAGTATTGGTGAAGTATGAGTTTTTATTTGTTTTAACCAAATAAGTAAGCCATATTGGAAATATCTCTGAGCAGCCTGAGATGTTGAAGTCTGAGAGAAAGAGGGAGCAAGGGACTTATTTCTGGAACCCACAGAGTATGGGTTAATTTAACTTGAGAACATGGTTATCAAGCCAGTTGGTGGGAGCAGCCTGCAGAATGCAGAGCATATTGCTGCTGCAATTATTTTAGATGCTAACAAATGAGAGAACATGTTGATAACTGTCTACGAACCAGACTGCACTTATTAATGTTGGAATGTCACTCTTTGAGTACCACATTCGCTGAATGGACTTCCAAGAAAATATTCCTCCTTTATTCCTTGTGTATTTGTTTTTATTATTAATTATTTTTATTGGAAAGGCAGATTTACAGAGAGAAGGAGAGACAGAACAATACTTCTTCCACTGGATCACTCCCCAACTGGCCACAATGGCTAGAGCTGAGTCATTCCAGACAGGAGCCAGGAGCCTCTTCTGGGTCTCCCATAAGGGTGCAGAGTCCCAAGATTTTGGCCCATCCTCTACTGCTTTCCCAAGCCACAAGCAGGGAGCTGGATGGGAAGTGGAGCAGCTGGGACTTGAACCAGTGTCCATATGGGATCCTGGCGCATGCAAGGCGAGGATTGAGCCGTCAAGCTGGGCCCATATTCTCTGCATATTTCTTTTTTTTTCTCCTCATATTTCTATATCAGCTATGGATATGCCAACTCCACCCTTGATGAAATAATTTGTTGATGAAAAGAACCCTTTGTGATATCAGTGAATATTTGTTCTGGAGAACAAATATTATAAGAATATAATAATATAATATAAGAAACTTAGGGAATTATTTTATTTGAATTCGAATGGCAGAGTGGAAGGAGAGAGAGAGAGATTCATTTCACTGTTTCATTCCCCAGATGGCTGCCTCAGGATGAAGCCAGGAGCCCCAGAACTCTATCTGAGTCTTCCTGGTGGATAGAAGGGGCCCATGCATTTATTCCGTTATCTGTGGCTTTCCCAGACACACAAACAGGGACCCGGATCACAGATGGAGCAGCCAGGACTCAGACAGGAGCTCTGGAATAGGATTCTAGTGTCACAAGCAGAGACTTCAACCACTGCACAGTGCTGGCCCTGGTATGATGCTCTAGCAAGGAATGCATTTTTTTAACGTGGACATTCACGTCACTGTGGGTATTGTGTATTGACCACTGATGGTCTGAAAAAACAAGGCACTGAGATAGACCGGACTTGAATCTCAACTATTCAAACATACAGTGTCTGGCAAAAATGCTCTTTAAGTAAAAAGCAATCTAAAGTGGAGGGAAAAAAGATTCTCTGGCAGGCAAACCTTACCCTTTGTTAGTTCCAAACATCTATGCAAATGGTGGAGGAATGGAAGCCATTTGGAGAAGTCTGGCTGAATTATCACTGGGTAATTTGAGCTGGCTCGTTTTTCACGTGAAGTACAGATATAGCTTTGTCATGTTCAGACACACTGAAATGGTTAAATGAGCAGAAGAAATGTATGACAGATGACAGAAACAGCTCATCTCAGTGCCAGGTACTGAAGTCCAGCAAACTGTGTCTCTGGCTCGAAGTCCTGCAGAGGGGCCCCGACACAATGGCTCAATGGCTCAGTGGCTCAGTCCTTACCTTATAAGATCAGGATTCCATATGGGCACCAGTTCATGTCCCAGCTGCTGCATTTCCCATTTCTGCTTGTGGTCTGGGAAAGCAGTAGATGTCTTGGGACCCTGCACCTATGTGGGTTACCTGGAAGAAATTCCTGGTTCCTGGCTTCAGATCAGCTCAGCTCTGGCTTTTGTGGCCACTTGGGGAGTGGACCAGTGGAAAGAAGATCTTTCTGTCTCTCCTTCTCTCCATAAAGCTGCCTTTTCAATAATAATAAATCTTTTTTTCAAGTCCTTTAGAAAGCACCAGTGGTTTTAAATCATTCTTTTGAAATGAAGACTTTCTCAAAATCCACTTTTGGAATGTTTTACTTAGGCAATGACTGCTAAGGATTTGCTATCAGAAAAGGATTCCTGACTCTTGAATCCAATTGTCTACTCCCCATTTGCAGTGACACGCCAGCAAGATGCCCTGAATTCAATACTTTTAGCCTGCCAACCACCCAGTACCAGTGGATGGGGAGCAGCTGCCCAATGTTGACCCAGGGTCCTGATGTTCTGAGGGTTCTGCCCAGGTGGTTTTGATAGTTTTGAAATGTTGATCTTGCTGATCCACAGATGAAGGATCATGTTCAATATCCATTGGCTGACATAGCCCACTTTAGAGAGTTCATTCATCCAGATATTTTCTGTCATTGTTGAGCTGGGGTAGTTGTCCATTCTGTTCTGTTCTCCTTCCTCTACTTATGGTCACAGATGTCTTCTGAAGGCCCCGATTGGCTGCCTTATCCTCTATGTGAATCTGGGCTAGCTGTGCACTACTCCATGTTTTATATTGAGGAGGACCAGTTTTTGCAGGTGGGCCCAAGGACCTGGGTCTGGCGATTCGGATGCCATTGGAACTCCCACTCCAGGAACCCATCTTGCATCCACCTGGACCCTACTGGGACCATGTCCCTGGGAATCACAAACCCAGCACCCACCATGCAGGCAGGCCTAGGAATCCAGGCCAGGTGACCCAGACCCCTGCCAGATCCCTCACCCTCAGAGCTCATGGACCCAGCATCCATAGTGCAGGTAGTCCCAAGAACCTGGGCAAGGCGACCTGGACCCCGCTGGACTCCCCATCCCTGGAGCTCATGGACCTGGCATAAACCATGCAGGTGGGCCCAAGGACTTGAGCCAGGCAACCCGGACAAGCAACATTCATGGTCTAGGTACCCACTGCCAGCAGACTGCATGGCTTACCTTACCTTGTTACCAATCAGCACGTGCTGCAGCTTGGCTCAGCCCAGCCTGCTCCCAGTTCCAGCTTCTGCTGGTGGCTACTGCTGCTTATCCTGGCCCAGCCAGCTCCTGTCCCAGCCCTGGTATGAACTGGCTGGTTGTGGCCCAACCCAGCCCCTCCTGTGCCCTATTCTGGTCCTCAGGTCTGCTAGTGGATATTATGAACTGGCCCAGCCTGGTCCACTCCCCTGACTTGACCCACCTGTATGCTGGCGGGTACTGCAGCCTTGTCTGGTTTGGGCTGCTCTTTGTCTTGGTTTTTGTGCTCACCTGCAGAGATTGCATCCTGACAAAGGAATTCCCCAAGCTCCTCTATCAGATTACCCTTGCTGTGGTAAATCTTGTGCACACCGGTGGGTCCTTGACCCAGGATGACTTTGTCCACTTCTTGTTCTAGTGAGAACAATGTCCTTGCCCAACCAACCCCTTGCAGCCTAGCCATACCTGGTCCACAGCCAGACAGCCCTTATATGGTTCAGCAGGAGATGAGACCTAGCCCAGTCTATTCTATACCCACCCTTGCTCTCATGAGTAACAGTGTGTGCTGGAGTCTTGCCCAGTCTGACACTTCCTAAACCCAGTCTCCACCTATGCCAGGGGAGACTGCAGCCATATCCAGCCAGGCCCACTAACCCTATTCTGGATCATGTGCTCACCACTGGGAATCCCAACCCAGCTGGGGCATCCCCTTAGCTCTCTGATCAGGCTTGTTCCCAGCCCCAGATCTTGCATGTGCCAATGAAGACTGCTGTTCCACATGGGTGAACCCACAAACTCCCCCACAAATTATGTCCCCAGACCTAACTCATTCACGTGATGGTTAGCGTCGTGGCCCAGCCTCACATTACCCATTCCTTGTTGTGACTCTCATTGGTGGATTGTACGATTTTCGCTGTGCAAGTAGAGTGGCCACCAGAGATGGGGTGAAGTGGACATCTTGAAGAATACATAAATAAAACTGTATGTCTTTCTTGCCTGTTTCATAGATAAGGAGCAGTTAGAATCAACTACTTAGGATGTCGAGAAGCCTTGCTATGAAAGAAAGACCATTGGTAGCAAATTGTCTAAAGGGCCTAAGATGATCCAATGGGAGGTTTTCAAGACAAAAAAGATGCCTTTGGAGTTACAGTTTTCATCCTGTAGCACTGCAAAGCGATCAAGGGGATCCTCAGGGCTTCATTTTGACTTTTAGTGAATGTACGTGACATGCAATTCTGCTGGATATGCTAATTTGTTGACAGTATTTGTTAGGTTACAACATGGGTAACACTGGAGTTTGGCAAGGTGCAAGAAGCAAGGCATGCAGGAAAGTCAGCGTTGCCTTTGGTAACTTCATACATTGTCTGAGTTTTTTCAACAAATTCAACCTGTTCTTAAGTCACATGTGCAAGTGGTTCAAATAACTGGCTAAACTTTAAGTTCAGAGTTTCAGTATCTCAGGTGAGACCTTTTTAAAGGCTGATGTCAAGTTCAAAACCAGCTGACACAGTCTAGGAATTCCAAGTGGACTTGTTTTTCAATATAGAAATGTGTATATTGAATATGAACTTTAGGTGTTCACTTTTGCTTCTAATTTTTTATAATTTTGTTGTTACTTACCTTTATTATAATTAATGATCTATAACATAGTATATATATATACTTATAAAATCATTTATTTTCGGGGATGCTTACATTGACAGGCATCTATGTAGGGGATTCTGTGAGTAAAGAGGTCTCAACTATAGAACTAGATTCTGGCATTCCACCTACAAGTGGCTTTACTGCTATCCACCTTGAAGAAGACATCCTTCAGGGAAGTTGTTGCCATGCTGGAGAAATCTTAATTCAGCCATGGGAGGCTCAGCTATGTTTGCTGAAGCTGATTACGAGCAAGGGCAAATGAGTGCTATCTTCACCCCTCCAGAAAAAGTTACCCCAGGTTTCATCACAGTGTTTAAACAATTAGAATTGTACTTTATTTCAGAATAAGTTTACGTTTCAAAAACGGTATTTACTAAAGCCACGACATTATTCCTACAGACAAAACTTTTATAGCAAAACCTTGGTACTTGAGCATGAGTCATATGAATACTATCCAGATATAGAAGAGATTTAAAAAGCGAAAATGATATATTCCAAAGGCTGTCATAGGCACAATATATATGCTTGTATTGGTTTCCGCAAGCATTAATTATCCTATATGTTATTAAATGTGATCCAAGAAGTTGTAGATTCTTCAGCACTATGTACTGAAAAGGTACAAAAAAAAATACCATAGTTACTCCTAGGTTGAGACAGCAGGTACTACCAAGACTAAAAAGAGGAGCAGAAAGCCAAGACAACATACAATTCCTTATCATTGTATGTAATACACCTATGGCTTTTTTTGTGTTCACTTTTGAGACTAGTTAGCAAGTCTGGTGAGTGCAAAAGAAAAAAAATAGTCTCTAATGCAACATTCAAGGCATCATTTCAAGGCATCTGATATTGAACAGTTTAAAAAGTACAGAACCCAAAGTGAGCTTGACCTTAGCGAGGTATTATATAGCAAAGAAACCACTTCCTTTCATGTATCTTTTGGCATCATCAGAATCATTAAACAGAAGAGTGAGAGTTCCCAAGTGACATGGTGGAAAAATACATAGGATGAATACTAGAATTTATTATATCTGTTTTTTTTTTTTTAAATAATGGTAAAGGGTATGGGTCTTTCAAGGACCAAGAAAGTGAAAGTGGTCTTGAGATCTAAACTTTCTTAGGTCTTTTTTTTTTTTTTTAATTGAGTTAAAACGTGTTCATGCCAAGCGTATCTGCACTGATAAAGCTGACTATATGGTTAAAAATAAAGAAAACAACTCTACGTTTTTCAGGGCAGACTACAACTACGTCATCTTGAAAATCTCTAAAAGGTAGAAATGTACACCTCAGATACACTCTTTGTCCACTAGGAAGTCAATGCAGATGTCAAAGTGACTCATGCAGATCTGCCTGTCAGTTCCCGTGGGAACAAAATTCTGCTTCCATTAAGCCCTCAGTGATCACAGTCGTCATGTGGAACTACAATCACACACAAACGCAAACCAGGAAGAAATGCTAATTTCAAAAGACCCACAAAGGCGTGCCAGACACGAGCTGCGCCGGAGGCCCAAACCGCAGCCACTTCCAGCTCCTGAATGCTGCTTTGCTCGTCCACTTAGCGGGGCAAGGGAGAGGGGTAGATCTTCAGGTGAAGCAGCTCTTTCTCCCTGAGGATCAGCCCATAATTTCGGCAGGTTCAGTGACCAACTTGGAACCATCCCACGACGTCTTGAACTGTTCCGGAACGGGAAATTCCCTCTGCAAGAAGAACAAAGTAATTGACACTGAGGGTTTCCTCCGCAAACAGATGGAAGGCTGATGAGGGCCACGCGATGGGCAAGAGACACAGGACAGAGCCCAAATGTGCCTCTTGGAGAGGTCTTGGCCATCCAGAGACGTGCCTATGTCATGTCTCGTCTCAGTGAGTGCATGCCGGCATCGTTGTTAAAGCCCCCGGCCGCGGAGAACCAGGCAGGCTTCTAAACCACTGGGCACCTGCGCGCGCACACCCCGCCACCCGAAAAACACCTAGGCCGTCTCTCCTACCCTCTTCTCCCCGCAAATCTTCACCATGCCCACGGGCCGACCTGTCATTTCTGTGTCAGGCCCAGCTGAAAATGCCAATCTGTATTTCCAGCAAGCTCTGAGAGCCTGGCTAGGCTTTCTAGCGCAATCGGCGCCTTCCCGTTGGTGAATTACGATCAAGGAAATGTGCTGAAAGTTGTGTATAAATCTGTTAACCCCTCACCTTATCAACTCTACTCCCCCCACTTCCCACTGGAAAACACGTGCACACACACACACATACACACTGTACCCTCTATACACACAACCAAACGACAAACACAGGACAGCCGCCTGGAAGCAGTCTGGCCTATTCTCCTTCCCCAGGGAATGACTCCCCAGTAATTCTGGAAGAGAACTGAACTCAAGCAGCCCCACTGGCCCCAGCTTGTGGAAATCCTGTGTGTCCACGAAGTATCCCATCGTAGACGCGTCCACGAAATGTACACGAACTTGTCTGGTCTTGCTGGATTAGGTCGGCTTGGTGCGTTCCTTTCGCAGGCAGTCATTCGTTTATTTAAAAAGGGAAAGCCCCTGTTGAGTCATGAATTCTCCCGCAGTGACACAGCTTAACAAGCTGATGCACACGTGCGGGAGCCGAGCCGCTGTCCCTCTCCCGGCCTCCGTGAGAGAACACTCCGGTGCGAGGGCTGCTCTGTGACAGCCGTGCACCGCAGCTGCTCCCACTCGTCCTGGCAGGGAGCAGGTGACAGTACTGTGCCGGTGGATGTTCTCCTGGAGGCTGACTTCTTTCAGGATTCACCACTGCCACATGTGGCTGCCCAGGGCAGGTCCTCCGTGTGGCTCCCTACCTCTCTACCTGCGAATGCACGCAGAGGGCCAACACCTGAGGCTACAAGGTGATGTTGGCATCAGAGCTCTAGTTCTGCACATCAGAAGCACGTGGGAAGTCCTATGCCCAGAGAGCCCACTTTCATTAGTCTAGAAGGTTCACCCATTACCCCACTGCTCTCCTGAGAAGATCCCATCTTCATGCAGCGGAACCTTCTGCTCAAACAGCTGCAAAGGCCAGCGATCACCCCGAGTTTTTGCTACCGAACCCAGAGGCTGGTTGGATTGCCTTTTCTTCTTCAGTGATATATATTTGTGTGTGTGTGTGTGGGGGGGTATGCATGGGGGATGGGAAGGACGTTTCCTAGCTCCAGATCAGACTGCCAAGACATCTGGTGGAAACGCATGACCCACTGTTAGCAAAAATTTGTGTTTTAAATAGAAATGATGGAGTTGGTGCTATGCCACAGCAAGTTAAGCCACTGCTTGTAATGTGGCCATCCCACAGAGGGCCGATTCTTGTCCCTATTGTTCTGCTTCTTCTTCTTCTTTTTTTTAAGATTTATTTATTTTTCTTGCAAAATCATATATACAGAAAGGAGGAGAGACAGAGAAGAAGATCTTCTGTCCATTGATTCACTCCCCAAGTGACCGCAACAGCCAGAGCTGCGTCGATCTGAAGCCAGGAGCCAGGAGCTTCTTTCCAAGTCTCCCATGCGGGTTCAGGAACTCAAGGCTTTAGGCTGTCCTCTGCTGCTTTCCCAGGTCACAAGCAGGGAACTGGATGGGAAGCGGGGCAGCTGGGATTAGAACTGGAACCCATATGGGATCTCAGCGCATTCAAGGCAAGGACTTTAGCTGCTAGGCCACCATGACGGGCCCTGCTCCACTTCTGATCCAGCTTCCTGCAGATGCACCTTGGAAGGTAGTAGGGGATGGCACAAGTGCCTGGATTCCTGCCACCCACCAAGGAGAGCCAGATGGAGTTCCAGGCTACTGACTTTAGCCTGGCCAAGCTTCCAGCTACTGGTGCCATCTCTGCCTATCTCTTTTTCCTCCCCCCATCTCTATCACTCCACCTTTCAAATCAATCAATCAGTCTTGAAGAATTACACATGATGAGTTCTGTGCTGCAGTATGTAGTGTGCAGCTGGAGAGAGCTGAGGAGCTTAGGAGTGGAGAGACCATGTTAACAGTCATGGCAACTGCGTTAGGGGATCAACCCGCATGTACACTCCGGAGGATGACGGGATTCCTCTTCTAAAGCCAAGCCACTGCGTTACTCTTCTTGTCTCTCCCCAGCCCCCTGCACAGTTAGGCTTGGGGGGCATTCTGGCTGTATTCGTTTGCTTCCAAGAAGTGCTGACTAGCAGGCAGCAGTAACTTGCTTCCGAGCAGCAACTAGCAAATCCACCACACTTCACAAGAGGTACCTGACTGCAGACAAGCCCTTTTAGCGTATGTGAGGACATCTGCCTGTTTCCTTCAGAAGCTTCTCCGTCGGGGCAAGGAAGTGGAGTCAATGAATGCTGCAAAACCCACTTAGGCTGGTGTTTAGTGGAAGGGTGCTGCACGAACACATAGCGTTAGCATAACCTGGGATGCCTGTAAGAAATCCAGGTTCCTGGGCCTCACCCCAAAGCTGCTGAACACAGATGGGGGCAGGGTTTAGAAGCAGGCATTTTCATCCGGCCTGCCAGCTGGTTCTTAACCTGGGTTTGAGATTCAGTCTCTAGTGCATCTGCACTAGTAGGTTTGCTTGGAAATCATCCACTCTTCTTGCTTCCCCTGAAGCACTTCTTTCCTGTTTACCTGTATTAGACCCATGGTAAATATTTGGTCGTACACAATGGGAATTCAGACGCATGCTGCGCAGTCTGAGGGAAGCTGATCCATTAAAGTAATTGTTGCTCGACGGCCTTGAGATGCCCTCGTTCAGGAGCGAGTGTGGTCAGGAAGCTAAGAGGAGAGGAGAGATGTGGAAGACAGTCTCCTGCCTGGGAGTCAGGCTGCAAATGCAGCTCACGAGGAGGAAGCTGATGAACCAATCTCTCGGAATGTTAATAATGAAGGCTCAAAAGAAAAAAAATTCTTGCAGCCTTTTGAAAGGTACTTACATAGTCCCCATCCTGAGGGACCAGGATATTCATCTCGGAGGATGTGGCGCTCACGATCTCACAGTCTAATGCATCCTCACTAAGGTATATGTGGCAACCCTCTGTCTTATTAATGGAAATGGTCGGCACTCTCCCCATCACCTGAAACACAAAAAATACATACATACATGAATACGGGATCAAACCAAAGAAACAGAAGTCATGATGCCCCCAAATACATACAATCTAGATCCTTCTTGGAGCTAGCTTAGCTTCAACAACCATTAGGAATCTATTGGGAAAAAAAATTTTCAACTCTCCTGTAAAATATGAAGAACAGTGCTCTTAAAAAAAAAAAAAAGAATCTCCTGGATGCTTCAGCTGTAATCAACTGCCTAGGTTGCAATGTACATATGTTGTGCCAGCAAAGATACCTGTTCTAGCTTTTTTTTTAAAAGATGTGGGGGCGGGATGCCAGCAGACAGTGTCTTGGGGACCCTCCTGCGAGTGTGCGTGGGCCATGGGTAGACAGGTGGGACTCCAGGTTAGCATGGCACACTGCTGGATGACTGGGTTTCAGAATACGTGCACTTGTGGGCATGGGAGGCTATGGAGAGCTGAGAAAAGCAGGTCGGGGGATTTGTGGGAGGGAAGACTGCTGAGGGAGAACATGATAGGTGAGGAGTGAGTGCTGGGGACTTCCACCAACCAGGCTACTGCACTTGCAGGTAAACGAGGGGACTGAGACTGGGCTGTTTAAAGGATGGAAACGAGAGGACCTTTGGTATCAAACCAACAGACCTGTCCACGTGGGAGACGAGAGCTGGGCTAGTTGGTATCAACCACTGCCTACCAGCACACACAGAAGCCATGGAAGGGGGGGGTACATGGCAGGGCTCAACCATAGTACCCACTAGTAAGTGTTGGGGTAGAGGGTGGACCACACCAGGCTAGGCCATGACGCTAACCAGCTCACAAGAGAAATGGGTCTGGGAGTAGATTCTGTGGGTATCTTGGGCTCACCCCTGTGAGACTGTCATACCAGCTGGTCTGCTCGAGGGCTGGCTGGGGTGGTGATCGGCTGAGCTAGGCATGACCATGAAATTCACCAACACTGAGGAGTATCGGGAATGGGAACAGGCTGGTCTGTTCCAGATGTAACACCCGCAGGCACACCTGAGAATTGGGTATGGGGCACACCAGGCCACAACATCCACCAGTAAACACAAAGGCTGAGGCTGGGGGATAGATTATGCTGGGTTAAGGCCTGATGCCTATGTAGATGTGTGAGACCTGGGTCTTGGAGTGGGCCTGGTGGGGGAACTTGGAGAACTCCCCAAGTGAGCTGTCGCTTTCTCTGTGAACACATGAGTCAGGACTGGGTGTGGGTCAGGCTGGGCAGGACTGCTTCACTTGTTGGCAGGTGTGTGGGTTGGCTCTGGTGGGGGTTGGGGGATGGGTGTACCAGACAGGGTCAGGGCAAACCATGGCACACTGGTATGCACAGAAGCCAGATGCGGTTGGGTCATGTCGGACTAGGCTAGGCTATCTCAAATACTGGTTTGCATGAGAGTCAGGGATGGGAATAGGCTGGGAGGGTTAGGCTGCAGCACCCACCAGTGAGAGTTAGGACTGGGACAGGCCAGGCCAGGCCAGGTTGAAGCATCTGCAAGATCTGCCACTGAAAGATGACCTGATAGAAGAGCTTGGGGAACTCCTCTGGTAGGACGTAGTCCCTGCAGGTGAGTGCAAGAACCAAAGCTGGGAGCCTACCCAGACCAAACCATGTTACAATATCCACCGACATACATGTGGGTGAGGTCTGCGGGCAGGCCATACTTGGCCAGTTCATAGCAGCCACTGGCAGATGTGAGAACCAGGTTGGAGTGCACGACAAGTTAGGTTGGACCAAAACACCAGCCACTTCATATTAGTGCTGGGACCCCGCACTGTCCACGCTGGACTAGGTGGCAGCATCTGCCAGTGTGAGCTGGAATTGTGGGTAGCCAAAGTCAAACCAGATTACAGCACCAGCTGGTGAATACCAAGGTGAGGAGAGCCATGTCAATCTGGGCCACAGCTCCCACAAGCACACATGAGGCACAGGGATGTAGGCAAGCCTAGTAGGGGTTTCCCTGCTGGGCCACTGCTCCAGCTGGTGAGCTTGAGAGCTAGGACCAAGAGACAGACCAGGCTGGACACTGCAAAGCCCATTGGCCTGCATATGTGCTGGGTTAGGGGGAGAGTCAGGCTGGGCTAAACAACCATATCCACTGATGCATGCATGAGACCGAGTAAGGGCTGACTGGTCAGGCTTTGCCATAGCATCAGCTAGCATGTGCTGGGATCTGGAGCAAGTCCTGTCATACTAAACAGCAGGACCACATGGAAAGTCCATGATCCAGTGCTGGAAATTGTCCTAGCAGGGCACATGTGAGCATGCCTCTGATAGGCTGTAGCTTCCACAGGTGAGTATGAGAAACAGGGCTGGGGACAGGCATGGCTGAACAGGTGGTTTGCCAGCATGAGTATGAGCTGGATAGTGGGGTCAGTTGGACTCCTAGTTTCAAATTGGCTTGGCTCCAGCCATTACAGCTATTTGAGGAGTGAATCTGTAGATGGAGGATCCTTCTATCTCTCCTTCTTTGTGTGAATCTGCCTTTCCAATAAAAGTGAAATCAATATTAAGCCTACAGTCTCAAGGATCTGAATTCTGGAAGATGGTGCCAAGTTCATCAGGCCATTTAGATACTCATAACATCATTTGCAGGCCAACTTAAACATCAGCTTGCTGTAACCTGTTGAATTTCAGGTCCCACTGCTGTTGCCTGGGTAGGGCTGAATCAAAAGATTCTGTGGCCTGCAGGCCTGCTATTCCCTACCCCGCATGGACTCTCAGTGAGAACACAGAGCAGCTCACACCTCGATGGAATTTCAGTCTCATGAAGCACCTGGGCTCTCCTCCGTCGCTTTCCCAAGCTTATTAACAGGGAGCTGGATCACAAGTGAAACAGATGGGACTCCAGCTGGTGCCCATACCCATATGCTGGCAACACAAAAGCTTAACGTGCTATGACACAGCACCTGCTCCCTTCTTTTAAATTTTCAAAATATATTTGAAAGGCAGAGTTACAGAGAAAGAGAGAGAAGATTGAGAGAGAGGGAGAAAGTGAGATGGGGGAGGTGGGGTGGAATCTTCCATTTTCTGATTCACTCCCAGACAGCTGCAGCTTCCAGGGCAGGGTCAGGCCAAAGCCAGGAAGCAGGAGCCTCACTGGAGTCTCCTATGTGGCTGTCAGGGCCCAAGCCCTTGAGCCATCTTCCACTGTAGCCCACAGGAAGCACCAGGTCTCTCTGTTTCCAAGGCAAGGTGGGACACATGAGTCAGGACTGGGTGTGGATCAGGCTGGGCCGGACTGCTTCACTTGTTGGCAGGTGTGTGTGTTGGCTCTGGTGGGGGTAGAGGGAGGAGTGGACCAGACAGGGCCAGATGCGGTTGGGCCATGTTGGACTAGGCTAGGCTATCTCAAATACTGGTTTGCATGAGAGTCAGGGATGGGAATAGGCTGGGAGGGTTAGGCTGCAGCACCCACCAGTGAGAGTTAGGACCATGGGGGTGAGGGATGGGCAGGGCCAGGCCAGGCCAGGCCGTAGCATCTGACGGCAAAGGCCAAGTTGGTTGATGGGCTATGCCGGGCTAAGTCAGAGCAACCATGGCATGTGCAGGATCCTTGGTTGGAGTGAGTACAACTGGTTGGGGAGCAAAAGTGACATCCTGGCGAGGCTGAGGTTCCCACTAGTGAACGTGAGAGCTGGAATGAGGACAGTGAACTGGGCTTCACATGGCTACAGCATCCCTTAGCATAGGAATGGACTGGGCCTGGGGTGTGCCAGACTCAGCTAGGTTCTAGCACCTGCTGCTGCTCACAAAAGCCAAGGTGGAGATAGCACCTGCTGAACCATGCAAAGCTAGGTCTGAGGGTGGACCATGAAGGGCTGGGTTGTAGCACCCAACAGTAAGAGTCAGAATGGGTACTGGCTGGTCAGGCAAGATCACTGTAGCAGCCAGAATAGGTGGGTGGGCCAAGGACCCACCAGCGTGTGCGAGATTTGATAGAGGAGCTTGGGGGAACTCCTCTGATGGGACATAGTTCCTGCAGGTGAGTGTAAGAACCAAGGCTAGGCGACTGCTCAGATCGAGTCATGTATCCACAGGCATACATATGGGACAGGTCTGGAGGCAAGTCATGCTTGGCTAGTTTATAGCACCCACTGGCAGATGTGAGAACCAAGTTGGGTGCAGGACAAGTTAGGTTGGGCCAGTACACCAGGCAGTTCACATTAGTGCTGGGACTGGGGGCTAGCTGGGCTAGGTTAGGCAGAGGCACCTATGAACATGAGCTTGAACTGGGGGCAGCCTGGTCCAATCCATACTGCAGCACCAGCTGGTGAATGCTGTGGTCAGGAGAGCCATGCCAGACTGGGCCACAGCTCTTACCAGCACATGTAACCTGGGATGGGGAGCGAGTCTAGTAGGGGAGCTGTGGGGGCTCCCCTGGTGAATCACTCTTTCCATTATTAAGCCTGAGAGCCAGGAGCAGTGGTAGACCAGGTTGGGTACCACTACAATACCCACTGGTCTGCACATGTGCTGGGTTAGGGGAGAGACAGGCTGGGCTAAGCTAGTGCATGCATGAACCAGAGTAAGTGCTGGCTGTTCGGGTTTTGCCACAGTATCAGTTCCAAATGCTGGGTCTGGGAGCAAGTTCTGTCAGGCTAGACCACAGAATCACATGGAAAGTTCAAGATCTGGTGCTGGGAATGGGTCCAGTAGGCACCTCTCTGATGGGTGGCAGCTCCTACTGGTGAGCATGAGAATCAAGGCTGGATAGTGGGGTTAGTAGGGCTGAGCTATCCTCCAATACCCACCGATGTGTATGAGAGCCAAATGGGATGTGGGATGAACTGCACATGCTGGCAGGCACAAGAATCAGGGCTCAGGATGGGCCTGGTGGGTGTTACTAGGGACCGCCCCAACTGGCTGTAGTTCCTGCCGTTGAGGTTACCTTTGGTGATGTTTCTTTGGGGACTCCCCCAAGTGGATCACTGAACTCAGAATTCTAACCATGGTGATTATATGTGGTCGGTGTGTCAGAACTGGG